GGGCGGGTGGGTGGGTGGGTGGGTGGGTGGGTTGGGTGAGTCTGGTTGTGGGTGTGGGTGGGTATGTGGGTTTGTGGGTAGCTGGTTGGAGGGAGCGTATAGCCAAAGCGTTGTGTGGAGACTGAAAGGTTCACATGTATGATCTTCAAAAATACGATAAAATATTAAGGAGCAGCCAAATGCAAGCAAACAAAAACTACCAGTCAATAAAAGGCACATGCTCGTGGGTGTAACATCGCATCCCGGAGCGGAGAAATTCCAGTGCCTGGACAGGCCTTTCTCGTTGTGCGTGTTCGTGCTCCACTGTTCAACCTCCAGTTACAAAGCAAAAAACAATTCTGTTACCAAACTACTCCCCCATACTCGAGTCACCCACCGAACCAAGCCTCGAGGTACGCTGATGCGCGGGTGAAGCCCATAACGGCGGTTTGCTCGGTGTACAACGGCGATGTAGCAACGGTGCAAAAAATAAGCAGCAAAATTTAAAATTGAGGGCAAATAATCTAATCCCCTGACAACACGCTCAGGCACTTGCATCTTGTCGAAAGTTCCATTGGGGTCATAGTGCATGTAGCAGCACGTGCTTCCACCAGTAATTGGGAAGCCTGAGGTACTCTCAACTAATGCCTCGCACTCAGCTGCGAACAAAAGGCTTTTGGTAGGTCCTTACACAGCGTATAAGCGTAGTCGTTGAATGCGTGTACTCAACCAGGCTACTATGCACTACACACAGACGGGAACCACGGTTCCTGAGCTCAATGCCATGACTATATGCTAAGTGTTGTGGCACTGCACGGCAATCTCCATTACATGCTAAACAAAACCGTTAATCTTCTGCTTGTCCATAAGACAGGATGCGCGGCCGACAATCTCCTGGCTTCTCCGAGTAACAGACCTACCTTATCCTGCATCACCTTAGAGGTCTACGACACTCATGTCACGCGTGCGGCGTATAAATTAGCGTGATCCACAGAAATTTGAGGTGAGGCGGGCACAAATACACAATAGTTGTAAGATCACTTTTTGTATGCGTCACGCGCTACAAGTGTAACCGCTGCCCGTCAACGCAAAGGCAATGCTGCGCCATTTGCACTCCACACATGTTCCGTGGCTCTCCCACAAAACTCGTCTCGTTCCGTTAGTTATCTACTAGCACAAGACGAGCTACTGACCCCACAGGCCTGCTTGGCGCTTAGTCCAAGGTACATCTTCATTGTTAGTGGAGTCATGCGTACTCCCTTTGTTTGACAACGGGGTGTTGGGCCTCCTCATCCCGTTGGTATCATATACAAACGCTCTATTTATTTTCAGCAGACTGCGATGAACGTGTTTTCCGTGCTATCCTTCTGATGCGAAGAACTGATTTTGAGTGCAAACGAACACACCCGGTGGGCGCAGGATTGTTCCTCGCAACTCCGGAAATGGCCTGTTAGCCCCTGAAGCCCGTACCTGGCAGCCTAATGGCTACGCAAGTTGTTCGCCAGATGGAAGCCCTCCCTCAGTCTGTGCCGAGCAGGAAATTCTAGTCTTTGAAGTGTTGCAACAAGCTTTCAAGTACCAGTCGTGTAGTTTGCAGTGTGCACGACCCCATGTTTCTTTTCATTGACGTACAACCTGTCACGAGCGATTGGAACATGCCTGATCGTTCTGTAGTTTTGGCACCTCTTCATACGTGGAGGTATTGCACCAGCCTTGCTGAGAGAAAGCGAGGCAGGCCTCGCCTTCTCTCGGCAAAGCTGCTGCAATAGAGCCAGTGCCAGGCCATCACCTGAGCCCGTCACCTCGTCCCGCTTAATATATATCTGTCCACAATGCGCAGGCGCCATTTGAGATCCAATGGGGTTTGCGAAGGGTACATCTGCTGCTGCAGAGCGTTTGTGTCAACGGCCAAATTGCGCAGAAAGTACTGGTGTGTCACGGCAATACCGTTGCAATGTGCTATAACGTCTATGAAAAATGTAGGAGCATATCTCGCAGATATTTATCGTTGGTCGCCGGTTACGATTTCTTAGTTGCATCATCATGAAACTTACCGGTCTCTCGCTGCCCCGGGGTGCAAATACTCCAGACAATTTGTTCGTAGAAGTTTTACTTATTGACACTACACTGGCGTGCACCGCATATATCGCCAAATGTTCTTCTGGATGGCTGCACAGTATACCAAGGGGAATAGTCGTAGTTAGCATCGAACTAAAGTGATACAGGCATTCTAACAACGCTGCGTGCTGCACTGAAGATTGTTGCTAGACAGACTATCTGCTTCGGTTAGTCCAACTCACCGCCTGTGCCACGCACAAACATTGCCCGTATTGGCATCTTGGTATTATTGAGTGAAGGTGCAGTATTAGCTGCACTAAAGAGAGCAAAGCTGTTAAAACCCAGGTTCATGACCGCGGGACCAAGTGCAGCCAAGCTTGGAGTCCTGAACCGCTGCTATCAGTCAGCCCCGCAGAAAGGGCGCGTTGCAGTAACGTCTCACTCAAGGGGTGAAGAATCAGCGATGCGCGGAACCCGGTTTGCGCGTGGATACCATTGAATCTTGTTTTTCCCAACAGAAAATACCTAATTCGTGGATGGGCCATGGCAATCAGTGTTCACTGTAATTGTGAAGAGTTTTGAACGGGTCTGCCGAACCGGCGTTTCGCATGTCCAACGCAGTGAACAGGATTGGCTAGCTGCTTTGTAGGATACAACAATAGAGTGCACAGCATCACATGATTCTGGAATGACCAGCAGAATGGAAGACGTGAGTGCGCCTCAATAATCCAAATTGTCGGATACAATAGATGGGTCGCTGAATTCATCCTCGCGCCCGTGGTGGGCAGCACAAGCAATACTTTATTTAGCCATAGAAGGCAACCACAGAAGTTATCCCTAGCCCACGAACGCGACCCTTCCAAAAAGCCAACGCCACTACATTGCATTTTGGACCGTCCCAGCAAGCCATGCAGCTGCCTGGTCTAGACGTTGCAACGATCCTGCGGAGCAGATGGCACTAGATGCTGTTAATCAAGAGTCAAACAGTTTGGACCGTCTCAGAAAGCCATGCACCTGCCTGCTCTAGACTTTGCACGTTAACCTGCTCGGGGATGGCGATGTAAGGCAGTCCCTTGGTCCAACGGCCCTCACCTCGCCCACCACTCGTCATGGCATTGGCAGCCTCGCTGCTGTCACTCTTGGCCTGCATCGTAATGCGCAGGCACTGCATTACCTATTCATGAGAACAACGTGGAGTGGCAGGGAGTGTCCAGCAAGTGTAAAGCGACGAGCAGGGGCACTCCGCACCAAAGAATACCAAGGGCGTGCGCTGTCAGGACGAAATTGCTCCTCGTTGCTCGGGAGTGTACATTTATTTCAGCAGACACGTATGCATCTGCCCGCACAGATTTGTCTGCAGAAGAATATGCAGGTGAAAGAAATGCATATCATAAGCATGCCTCATGTGCCGTTTCGGATGCTGGCTGCTACCGCCCGAGCAGTTCTTCATCTGCCGGCTAAAAGATACGCATACTCCCTGGGAGAAATGTAGGCGGTCCCAACAGGAAAATGGGTCATCACACCGTAAATGCTGTCTCCTGCCGCTTACTTTTCTGCGCACGTATTTCTTCACCAATTCAGTCTCATTGCTTCTCGGCTCAGACATTGCCTCGCAAATGCACATTGCAGGGCAAACACACGCCGCGCAGGTCAGCAGCAAAGCATGCGTCGTGCGCCTACGAAGACTGCAGCTTGATGAGAAGCGTGCAATCGGAATCACGTATATCTGCACAGAAGTAGCATGCACACTTCCTGAAGAGAGTCCCGCATGGCAGCAACAAAACTACCACATTCTGCTACTTTCCTCTATTATGTTACCCCCGCGCAGTTGCATTTGAAAGGGAAGCGCATCTGCTGTTCGAAATATTGCATACGAAGTCACCAGCAGAAGGATATGATCTCAGACTCTTAGGCAAAGACAGCCCATGCTCAATACCGGCAGCAGCCCGGAAGGACTCGGAAAGAACGCCGCACGCCGCATGCAGGTGGCTGCGTCTTCCTGCATGTGGCGTTTTTATCGAACCCTTCCTTTTCGACGACCAACCAGAAGTGAACCTTTTAAATACGTAGAGGGACCATCGTGCACTTGAAAACCGCAGGCCTGCCTTGCGTTTGCCCCTCCCTAAAATGCGCGAGTGCCATTGAAGCTTTGCCGTTAGATATAGAGCTTGGAATAATTTCTGCACCACACGACTGGCAAATTGTATATACGAGGAACATAAAACTGCTTGGATACCTCGCCAAACCAAAAACATCCGCCTGCGCAACCAGTGCCGGTTTCCT